CGGGCCTCTCACTGTTGTGGCCTCTCCCGTTGTGGAGCACAGGCTCCGGATGCGCAGGCTCAGCGACCACGGCTCACGGGCCCAGCCACTCCGCGGCATGTGGGATCCTCCCGGACCGGGGCACAAACCCGTGTCCCCTGCATCGGCAGGCGGACTCTCAACCACTGCGCCACCAGGGAAACCCTCTTCCCTGCTTTTTGACAAGGCTGGCTCCTTCTCACGCCTTGGGCTCAGCTTACCGGGCCCCTTCTCAGCCCTCTGTCTCAGCAGGTAGACTTGGCCCTATTAGTCTCCTTCATCTCACCCTGCTTGTTTGTTGTCTTCATAATTTGTGACTATACATTTATTTGCTTGTGCACTTTGTGCTAAGTCTCTTCCTAGATGAAACAGGAGCTTTGTAAACTCAAGGCATATACCTGTCTCATTCATTGCAGTCTTCCAGCCTGGACCATCTGACACATAGTAAGTAGTCAGTAAATATTTGTCGAATGTATGAGTGAATGAACAAATGACGTGGTCAGAACTGCAGGAAAAGATCTTCTCTGGCAGAAGGACAGTAGTTGAATTAGAGAAGATGACTGGGGCATAGCCAGAGAGGAGGGAAGGACCACTCTGCTTTACTGGGTAAAATCGTTAGTAGAGGCTGGAGATGAGTCTCACAGTGGAGGAGAAGGGCATCCAGGGAACTGAAGACATTGCAAAGGCAGTGTGGCGTGGTGTAGCAGAAAGAACAAGAATGTAATGAAGTCAGAATTCCTGTGTTTTAATTCCAGCTCTATCACCAGCTGTGTGGTGCTGGATAAGTTTCTTATCCTCTCTGTGCCTGAGTTTCAGCATCTGTCAACCGGCACCAACACCTTAGGAGTGTATGTACCTTAAAGGGTTATGTGGATTCAAGGCCACATAAGCCCAGAACTGACCCCCACTTGTGGGCTAACAGTCAACAACAAAACGGGGATTATAATTCGATTGGAATCAATAAGACTAAGAGGCTGCCCTGCCTTGACTCACCTCTACAGTCTCTCCAAGGCGACGGAGGCTTTCGAGGAGATGAGATTTTGAATGCTTGGTTTCCACAGAAATAGCCTCCAGGGCGGAGCCCCTGGTTTTCAGCAGATGATTTCTTTGTAGCTCAGCTGCTGGTGGGTAGGTGGGTGGTGCCACGGGCTGCTCTTTTCCTGAATGAACAGCTGTGCCCTCTCGTCTTTGTCGAGAATAATCATAACACTACTTCAAACCTCAGCCCAGCCTCCTTCATTCATGGCTCCCTGGCGGCCTGGCAGTCACAGCACATGTTTGCCAGCTGGTGGGGCGGGGAGGGCCGCAGACACTGGAGGCTGGATGTGAAGGGACAGGTCAGGCCCTTGGCCCTTGCCTTGGCCTTGTCCCCAGCGGACCAAGCCGCAGCCTCCTCAGAACTGGCCTTTGAGGCCCTGCCTCCCACCCTCCAGGCTCATACCCTACCTCTCACTTCCCTCACCCCTTCCAGCCACATCAGCCTCCTTCCCAGTCCTCTGTCACGCCAAAGCTCACTCCCACCTGAGGACCTTCTAACACACCATCCCCTCTTCCCACAATTCTCCCTAGATCGTGGCAAGGCCAGATACTTCTTGTCACTTGGGGCCCAGCTTAAACATCGTCACCTCAGAGAGGTCCTCCCTGGCCACTCCCCTCTGCTGGCTCATAACGCCCAGCCACCAACAGCTCAAGGCCGAAACTCTACCAACTCAGGAGCCACGGGAGAAGAGCCTGCAGGGCATTCCAGCCCAAGGCCTGACTCTGGTTCTGATTGGCCCGGCCTGGGCCAGGGGTCCTGTGGACCAAGACAGGGGAGAGAGGAGTCCCCAGGTGAAAGCAGGGAGGCATTTCCCCCCAGAAGGGACAGTGGGTGGTGGGCAGGGAAAATCACAGGTGTCCACCCTGGCCCCAGCCCTTCTCCAGAAAAACAAGTGGGTGAGTGTGGAAATCACGGGTCTAGAGCCTGGGGCCCAGGCCCATCTGTGCAACCTGTTTCCTCACCCAGGTAAACCTCACAGAGTTGTTATAAGAAACAGGTGGGATGATGCCTGGGAGGGCACTTTGGAAACTATTATTATCTTTAGAAGAGATGGAGGCAGAGAGGATGAAGAGGAATTAAAGGGGGGATGAGGTCCTCTGCGCAGGGTCCTCAGATTGGGTGGAATAGAATCAGAACTCCGGGCCTCAGGTAACAACAGCTGACGTGTATCACCATCTCTCTTGCAGAATCAGAAACCTGATTGTTCTGGGACGTTCTGGAAGGGCATGGATAAGCGGTCACATTGGTTCAAATACCCCTGTAACCAGATAAGGAATTCAGGCAAGTCACTCCTCCTACCTGAGCCACTCTTTCCTCACCAGCAAAATCCAGATGATGATAATACAATGCTGGATTGTCCTGAGCTTTAAATGAGGGCAAAGCAGGTTGCCTGACAGGTGGGGTGCCCTCAATGCCTCTTACTAGCTATTTTTATTAGGTATTTATATCTTTCTTAATTGTCTCCTTTAAAACTCCCCACTCCTTTTTTTTTTAATAAGGCTTCTTTTGAAAATGCCATGCTGCGTCAGCAGTACTAAAGATACGTGAGGGACAGACTTCGTTCTTTCCAGGCCGAGTCTGAGGAGAAGGGACGGGAAGAGGGAAGAGGAACCAGTGTGTAGGGGCCTCCTGCAGCCAGGCCGGGGCTTGTACATGGGCTGTGCTGGAGCCTCCGACAGCCGCCTCAGAAAGGGCCTCCTTCCTTACTTTACAGAGCGTGTGGAGGACCAGAGTCGTAAGAGACTTGCCCAAGGTCACCCAGCTTGGAAGCACTGGGGCTGAGACTCACATCCAGGGCCTCTGGAGAGCTTCCCAGGCTGTGGTGCTTGTGTGTGTGTGTGTGTGTGTGTGTGTGTGTGTGTGTCTGAAGCAAACGTTCACTCCTCTTCAGTTCAATTCACTAGAAATAGCTCAAGGGCCTGCCGTGGGTCAGACAGAGGAAGAGATGGGTTCCTGCGACCTACCCACGTGGGTTCACTCATGAGGATCTCAGAGCCAAGTGAGGGACAGACCAGTGGAGGGCAGGAGACACAAGAGGGTACAGAGGGGAGAGGAAGGTCTGAGAGTCCCTGGGACCCTGCTGTGGCCTCCATTCTCCCAGACTCACCCCCAACCCCGCGGCCCACCCCCCCACACACACACACTCACCGCCCCACTTGCTCCCGCACTGCCAGGAATGCAGGCTGTCCCCAGCTCTTCCTCCTCTGCATTCCTCAGCCACGGCTCCCACCTGGCAGGGCAAATTATACCCTGGCCTGCCAATAAAAGCCACTTTCCAGAAAAAGAAGCTTTAGGGCCCTGAGAGATGCAGCTAACTCTCTCGCACTGCCTGCGTCTGACTCAGGAGGTGGTGCCGGGGCCAGAGGAGACGGGCCCTGTGTCCCTTTAAGCAGGGAGTACAAATTTCCATCCCAGCCCCGCCCTCCAGCTCTTCCTGACGTCAGGAGGAAGGCGTGTGTGAGTGAGTGAGGGGCCTGAGGTGTCGCATGCTCACACACACACACACACACACTCACACAGAGTCATACACACAGCTCATCTTTCAGACCATCCCCTGCTCATCAGCTCCAAGCGCGCGCGAGAGGCCGAGTCTGAAGCCAGCTGCAGGAGGCAGTGCCAGGACCTCAGCTGCCAGGGAGAGGTAAGGGGCCAGACCGTGCGGGCACACAGAGGGCACACTGGAAACTGGCTCTGGCAGGGGCGAAGGAGGGAGGCGTGATTTGGGGGCACTGGGAAGGTGGGCACCTCCCCTGGGGCTGGTTCAGCCCCGTTCAGTTTACAGAAGAGGGGCAGGCGGCTGAGCACATGAGCCCACCGGGCCATCCCGCCGCCTGCGCTCCCTCTCCCTGGCCCCCAGGGGAAGCTGAGGCTGTGTGGCTCCCTGTGAGAGGGTGTGTGTGTGTGTGTGTGTGTGTGTGTGTGTGTCTGGGACTTGTGTCTGGCTCAAGAAGCAGAGAGCATCAGACACCTGCCAAGCCGCAGCCTCCTGTCTGGGAACCAGGGGGAGAGAAATGACTGGAGAAATCACTGTGTCTCCTACCAGACACTGAAAAGAGAGTGCAGCAGGGAGCAAAATAGGTCTTTCCCCTTGGAATCTGGGTTGGGGGTCGGCAGGGGCCATCTGGGGCAGGCAGACAGTTGGACCTGGAGCAGCTGTCTCATCCTGACTATTTCTTCCCTGATGTGATGGGGGATAATGGTGTTAATTGGCTTGGGGAGGTGGCTCCATATTCTTATATTCCCCTTTGCCTCAGAGCCAACCCCACCAGGAGCTCTTGCCTCTCCTAAGGCCACTCCTCTCCCTTGCCCACTGGTCTGGCTGTAACCTCCACCCTTGCCAGGACGCAGCCCCTGGAGGGCAGGGGTGATAAGCCAGGGGCTGCTGGGTCCCCTGCCGTGGGATTCAGGGACTCGGGCAGCCTTGCTTAGTGCCGAGTTCCTCAGTGGCTTGACCCTGGCACAAGGAGTCCGGGCGGAGATAAGGGGTGATGCTGGCACCCAGAAGGGAGACAGCAGGTTCCTGCCAATCTGCCAGCCTGCAGACTCTTCCCAGGCAGAGGGGAGGGAGACGCGGAGCGAGAACAATAATAAATACAGAGTGTGAACTGCTGCATCCGCTGGGGCTGGGGGAGGGGAAGAGGAAGTGCGCGCGGGTGGAGGGTGGGCAACCTCTCTGAGAGCCTGGCATCATGCCCGCCTGGGTATGCTCCTGTGGAGACGTCTCCCTCGGAAGGGACTGTCTCCAGCCCCCTGGGGGATGGGGAGCCAGTTCCCCAAAACTGACTCCATCCCAGAGGCCTCTGGGTCCTCCAAATTCTGGATATTTCCTCCTCCCAGCCTCCTACCCCACCTCCCCCCACCATTTCTTTTAAGTCCTTTCCAAAAACATCTATTTCCCCATATCTGCCCCACCCCTCTGGATCTGTCTGACCCTCCCCCAAAAACAAAAACAAAAACAAAAACAAAAAACAAAGACAGGTGTAAGCAGGAACCAGCTCACAGGGGCCTGGGAGAGGTCAGGGGACAATCTTGGCCACAGAGGTTTCTCCCAGGCCTGGAGAGAGATGGATGGGCAATGTTCACAGAAGTCCACTGGCCTTGGAGGGGGCCTCCCTAGGGGGGACTGGGGGGTCCCACACAGCTGGCTGGTGGGGAGGGGACACCTGCAGGCTGGTCTAGAGGCAAGTCCCTGAGAGTGGCACCAGCAGAGGGAGCTCAGGGCTTAGCTGAGCTGGTCACATCCATTGGTAACAACCAGCAAAACCAGGACCCAGAGCCTGGTGGGAAGAGGTCTTGGGGCAATTCAGACCTTTGTCCATGCAGAGCATTAAGATGGGAGGCAAAAAGCAATGGGAGCGGGGAGCTCTTCCCCTGCCCCAAAGCCAGTGGCATGATGGTCACCAGGAGGAGTGGCATGGCACGCTGGAAAGCTCATGGGCTTTGGGGTTATATTGATTTGAATGCAAGCTCGGCCAGTCTAAATGTGACTTTGACCAGGCCGTACCTCTTTCTAGGGGGACTCAGGATGGGAAAGCAACTTGCCCAGGGTCACACAGCCCAGCAGAGCTGGGATGTGAGCATGGATCTCATGGTGTCCATCCTGGCATCCCTACCCCCACTAATACCAAGGAAGCCCAAAGGGCTTAATCATAGCAGCCCCCCAGGGCAGCTTGGGGACATAACAAGGAGGAGAGTTAAAGGGTCTCAATTAAGCTCAAGTATTGGCCGGGGCAGCGCACCCCCACCTCCCTGCAATACACACACACACACACACACACACACAAACACACAAACACGATGTGGGAGAGGGAAAGAACCAGGTTTAATTAGGTCACCTCCAGCTGCTAGAGCAGCTTTGGCACTGATGTATTTTAAGGAGTGTCTGGGAGGCTGGGAGAGGGGGAGGGGCCGGGGAAGTGCCAGCTTCTCTCTGGTGGTTCTGAGGCTGTTTCCTCACCTCCTCTGGCCCATCACAGGCAAGACCTCAAAGTTCAGAAAGCCCTTCCACCATCACCCTGTGTTCCCTGCCCTTCCCCTTTCCAAGCCACCATACCCATTCCTCCCCCTCTCTGTTCCTCCACAATGGGGGCTCGGGCTGGGATGTTTTTATTGAGGGAGTTGCTTTTAAGCTTGCTGTAGTTGACAAGTGACTCACCCAAGGTCACAGTCTGAGTCAGCACAAAGCCAGAAATAGAACCCCAGGCCCTGTTCTCTTCCCTCTCCAGGGGAGGCAGGCGCTTTCAGGGACCTGCTGCGCCTCCCACCGGAGGCCTTTCTGCACCGCCCCCCAAAACGTCTCCAGGGTGTGGAAGGCTGTGTGACCCCAGCAAAACTCTTCACCTCTCTGGGCCTCAGTTTACTCCTCTGAAGAACAGGGTTAATAACAGTAATTATCATGTAGGTGTGTCGTGAGGAGTAAATGAGGAAACAGGGCAAAGGGTTTGGCATACCACTTGGTACACGGTTAATAATCAATCGATGGTGGCTGTGATCTTTTTCTTTTTTAAACTCACTACTTGAATTTTGTTTTGTTTTGTTTTTTTATAAAATAAATTTATAAATTATTTATTTATTTTTGGCTGCGTTGGGTCTTCGTTGCTGCGCGCGGGCTTTCTCTAGTTGCGGCGAGCAGGGTCTACTCTTCGTTGCGGTGCACGGGCTTCTCATTGCGGTGGCTTCTCTTGTTGCTGAGCACAGGCTCTAGGAGCATGGGCTTCAGTAGTTGCGGCACGTGGGCTCAGTAGCTGTGGCTCGTGGGCTCCGGAGCATGGGCTCAGTAGTTGTGGAGCACGGGCTCAGTTGCTCCACGGCATGTGGGATCTTCCCAGACCAGGGATCAAATCCATGTCCCCTGCATTGGCAGGCGGATTCTTAACCACTGTGCCACCAGGGAAGTCCCGGTGGCTGTGATCTACTCGTATCAGGACTAACCACCCTGTGTTCTACTTGTCTATCTGCTACCCTCCAGTGGAATGGGGCCCTCTAAGGGCAGAGCTGTCTCCTCTCCTGTTTGTTTTCCCAGAGCCTGGCAATCATATTCAGTGACGTGTGTGTTTCTGACAACCTCAGAGGAGAGTTGGAGTGACCCTCATGAGTCATCTGGACCAATGATGATTCATATAGCTGAGGAGAAAATTGAGGCCCAGAGAAGGGCAGGTGCTTGCCCCAGGTCACACAGCCCTGGGTGGTTGAGCCACCTTGCTTTCCCTGATCTGCCCAGGAGAGGGATTCGCTTGGTCAACAGAGGACTCTAAGGGCCATCTCCTGCCCAGTTCTTTTTTGGGGAGCTGATAATTGGAGGAGCCCCAACACCAGGTTGATGGCCACCTGCTGTCAGGGCTGAGTCACCATTCACAGCCCTGTGAAGCTGTATCACGACCTTGCCTAGGGTTATCTCCGAACAGCCCTGATGTTTTGTTTTCAGCTCCCCTGGCCCTTTTGTCTGTGGAATTGCTGGGGTTTGATCTTCTTGCAGGGAAATGAAGAGGATCTTGGCTGGCAGGGTCAGAACCAAAACACTCACAGGTGGACCATTGACACAGCTCCCAGCTCCTCTCATAACCTGGACAGGATGCTACGATTTGCCCTATTGGACAGATGGGGAAACTGAGGCTCAAAGAGGGAGGGTCACTCAGCTAGGACACTGCAGAGCCAGGATTCAGTCCTGGGCCCTCTGGGTCCTGAGCTGTCCTCTTGCCCTCCAACTGCTAGTTCTGAAGGGCATTATTCCAGGCCAGAGATGCCCCCAGATGGGCACACCGAATTCCTCAGGAGCTAGGGCTTAGCTCTGTTTGAGTTGAAGCACATGTTCTACAGACACATCTATTTCTCTGCTCTCGGAGTTTATTTCCCCTTTCTCAGGGAAAGTTCTTTTGGGAAAACTTCAGCCTTGTCTTGGCTGAACCAGGAACAGAATTTATCCTCGCAGGAAAAGCACCATTTGCTTTCAGACAAATCTGGCCTCTGTCACTTACCTGCTGTGTGACTTTGGGCAAGTCACTTATCCTCTCTGAGCTTCAGCTTCCTCATTTGTAAAATGGAAACAATTGTGATTTCAACCTTTGAGGGCAACTGGGAAATTTAAAAATGGAAAATAATTTCTGTAAAGACTTTTTAAAGAAAAAATATTTTTTTATTTATTTTTGGATCTGTTGAGTCTTCGTTGCTGTGCGCGGGCTTCTCATTGCGGTGGCTTCTCTTGTTGCAGAGCACAGGCTCTAGGCGCATGGGCTTCAGTAGTTGCAGCACGCAGTCTCAGTAGTTGTGGCTTGCAGGCTCTAGAGCGCAGGCTCAGTAGTTGTAGTCCACAGGCTTAGTTGCTCCGCGGCATGTGGGATCTTCCCAGACCAGGGCTCAAACCTGTGTCCCCTGCATCGGCAGGCTGATTCTTAATCACTGCGCCACCAGGGAAGTCCTGTAAAGACTTTTTGTAAAGACTGTGTATAGCATTCAGACAATAAAAGCCCTGTCTTCACTTGCCCCCTTCTGTGGCAATATTCTGGAGAAAGGGTCTGAACTGGAGGCTTGCTCAGCACCCCCTTGTTCCGCTCTCCCTGGTCTCCCAGGCTGCCCTGCGCTGTAGAGTTTCTTCAAGTCCAGGGCTCTGGCAGGAACCAGAGAGGGAAAGACTCTGTCCAAGATCACACAGCAAGTCAGTAGCAATGCAGGGGCTGAACCCAGGACTCCTGACTTCCCACTCCAAGGCTCCAGAGTCGGATTCCCCTGGTTCAAGTCCTGGCTCAGACATTAATTGCTGTGTGGCATTGAGTGAGTGACAGCCTCTCTGAGCCTCAGTTTCCTCATCTGCAAAATGGGGTCATAATAGCACCAGCCTTAAAGGACTATTGCAGGAACTAAATGAAAGGAGAAGCTATGAGGGGCAGCGCAGGGACCTAGTGTGTGGGTGAGTCCTTGGGGAAACAGGGAAGATGAGCATAAGGGGCGGCTTTGGCTGGTGGGTCTCTCTTCTGCCCACTCCCTCTCCCCTCCACGCCCAACTTAGCCACCTTGTCCGGAAGGAGCACCCTCTCACCCAGCACCTACCCAGTGCTTCCCCCATTCCATCCCATGTCATTCTCACTGAAGCTCTCGGAGGACGGATTCTTGTAATCCCCATTTTCCATAAGAGGAAGGAGAGAGGGGAGATCTCAGAGCAGCGCTCTTGGCACTTGCGGGGCCTAATTCGTCTGCCCCTCCAGCCCCAGCTCCTGCCCGAAGGTCACTCCCCACCTTCTCCCTGGGAGCCCCTCTGGGTAGGTGGGGCTGTGGACTGGGAGCTACAGGGAATGAATGTCAATCGCTGCTGTTACTCCATCCCCTTCTCCTCCCCCTCTGCTGCCTGGCCCATTTGGGGGAAGGGAAGGAGGGGGGCTGCCCTCAACCCTAACCCTGGAAAATCGGTGCCTCTTTCCCCTTCCCCACTGCCCGCTTTGCATGAGACCTGGGAGGCACGCTCACTCAGTCTTGGGTCTGGAGGCCTGGCTGGCCAGAGCAGGGCCCAGCTCAGCTGCATCTCCCTGGTAACCACTGTGGGCTGCCTCTGCCCCTCCCCCACCTCCTTCCCTCCCCTCCACCCGCCATGACCTCCCAGCACAGGCTGTCACCGCCAAGCACAATACCAGGCCTGGGAAAACTGTGCAGTGGGCAGGCTGCGCCGCCCTGCTTCCTGCAGAAAGGGAGGCCGAGCTCCTCTCCCTGCCCCCGGCCACCCTCACCCAGTTAGGGAAGCAGGCACCCAGGGCTGTGATGCAGGGCCCGTCATCTCCTTCCCCCTCCCCAAAGCCTGGAACCACTAATCTACTTCCTGTCTCTATGGGTCTGCTTATTCTGGACGTTTCACATGCATGGAATCATGTAATCCATGGTCTTTTGTGACTGGCTTCTCCCACATAGCATCATGATTTCAAGGTTCACGGTTTCAAGGTTCAGCTGTAATGTAACATGTATCAACACTTCATTTCTTCTTATGGCTGAATAATACTCTACTTTATGGTTAACCACATTTTGTTTATCCATTTATCTGTTGTTGGACCCTTGGGTGGTTTCCACTTTGGGGCTGTTATGAGTAACGCTGCCATGGACATTCATGTGCAAGTTTTTCTGTGACTGCTTCAGTTTTCTTCTCTCTAAAATGGGGACATGGGAATTCCCTGGCAGTCCAGTGGTTAGGACTCCATGCTTTCAGTGCCGAGGGCCCGGGTTCGATCCCTGGTTGGGGAACTAAGATCCCACAAGCCGCGGGGCGGCGCAGCCAATAAATATATAAATAAATAAATAAATAAATAAAATAGGGATAAAAATGCTAAACCTGGCCCATCCCTGCCTCCTCAAGTGGGCTCAGAGAGAAAAACTGCACGTCAGCATGAGGGGCTGTGAGGGGCAATTCTCACCCCACCCCTGGCAGTTCTTTTGGCTGGAAGGGATGTGTTGGGCGCTTGCTGGGGAGGAGGGAGGCTGCATCTCCACCCCCAGGGATGGCACAGTCAGCTCATCACCTTGACCCAGAAAAGTCCCACTTGCTATGTGATCTTGAACAGTGGCCAGGAGACCTGCTCCAATGACGGGGGTTGAATGGGGTGACTCCTTAGCTCTTCTAGTCCATGCAGGGCTCTGGAGTCCTAAGGAGTCCTAAACTCTTCCCTGGGGGGCAGGGCAGGGTGGAGATGGAGGCCAGAAAGAGACTTAGTTCAGGGATTCACCTCTGGCCCCAAGGCCTTTGGGTGAAGTGGGGGGGAGTGAAGGAATGGGGGTGAGGAGGTAGGGAACGCGTCACCCTCACTCTTATATGACCGTGGACAATGGGCACTTCTTTGTATCCCCCACCTTAGCCAAGCCTCACCATAGCCTGTGAGGGAGTGAGGCGGGACTTATCAGCTCCATTATACAGATGAGGAAGCTGAGGCCAGTGGAAGTGCTACCCAAGTCCACGGCTAACACGCAGCGGAGCTGGAGCTCTCCTGGTCCAGGTGTCCTGCCTGGCCCCACTGTGGCAGGCTGCCCGCCCCAGGCTCAGTCAACAGCTAGCGTCTCTTTGAGCCCAAGATTTTCCAGCCCCTGGGGAGGGGGAGGGGGGGTGAGTGCATGGGTGGGGGAACTACATTCTCTTCCTCTGCAGAGAAAAATATAGGATGAATTTTTTTAAGGTCATCCAGGCACTGAGCTGTTGACAGGGGAATTTCTATTGATTAGCACTGATAGTAGCAATTTATTGGGTACCTACAAGATGCCAGATGCCGTCACACACACTAAATCATTGAATCCTCAGCAACCAGGGGAATTCCCTGGTAGTCCAGTGATTAGGACACGGGTTTTCACTGCCGTGGACCTGGGTTCAATCCCTGGTCTGGGAACTAAGATCCCACAAGCTGTGTGGTGTGACCAAAACCCAAAAACCTCAGCAGCCTTGCGTGGTAAGCGTTCTCAACCTCATTTTAGAGAGGGGGAACCTGGGGCTAAGGAAGAATTTCCAACATTCCTAAGAGCTCACCATGCCCCGGCCCTGTTCTAAGCATGCAGAAAGTCATTTAATCCTCACAGCAACCTCTCTGTGAAATAAGAACCAACATTATCCCCATTTTACAGAGCAGGAAACCAAGTCAAAGGTTATGAGTGTTGACCAAGGCTGCACAGCTGGTAGGTAGAGCCAGGATTCAAACCCAGACCTTTTGGGTCCACATTCACCCACATTCCCACCTGCCATGTTGGAACTGTTGGGTGGCTTGCTTGAGGTCACCAAGTTACAGGTGACAAGGCTGAGATTCAGACCCAGGTCTGTGGATTTGAAACTGCTAGTAGTTGTGCCACACTGTGTCCCGGATCATTGGCCACTTTACCCATCCCACCTCTTAGGGCCCCAAGTTAAAGAATTGAACTTCAAGCTGCAAGGACTTTTGGTTAGTCTCAGTCAGCTTGGATCACCATTAACAAAATACCCCAGACTGGGGGCTTAAACAAGACATTTACTTCTTACAGTTCTGGAGACTAGAAGCCCGAGATCAGTGTGCTAGCATGGTCTGGCTCTGTCTGGGGAGAGCTCTTGTCCTAACTTGTAGACCGCCCCCTTCTGGCTGTGTCCTCATAAGGCAGGGAGAAAGGAGGCAAGCTCTGGGTGGGGGGGTGTCTGTCCTTCTAAGGACACTAATCCCATCATGGGGGCCCCACCCTCCTGACCTCATCTAAACCTAGTTACCTCCCAAATGCCCCATCTCCAAATACTATCACATTGGAGGGGTTAGGATTTCAACATGTGAATTTTAGGGGAACACAATTCAGCCCACAGCAAGGTTGTATGACCATTTTGTCTTTCTGGGGAGGACACTGAGTCAGGCAGGGGCTGTGAGTGGCCTGAACTCACTCTGTCAGGAGTAGAAGGCAGGCCCAGCCCTCCAGACTTGTGTCCAGAAGCTGCCCACCCTGGACCACACTCACCTGTACCTCTCTCTCCCCCTTCCAGACGGAGCCTGTGGCTGGTGAGTCCGCCGAGCAGGGCCAGGCCGGGCCCTGCCCACAAGGACGCCCAAGCCCTTCACCGGCCCCTGCGCCTGGGAGCCCACCAGGCTCTCCCACTGGCTCCACCATGACTTCGGAGCCCACGCCACCCCCGGTCGTGCCCCCGCTCCACTCCCCCAAGTCCCCTGTCTGGCCCACCTTCCCATTCCACCGGGAGGGCAGCAGGGTCTGGGAGCGAGGCTGTGTCTCATCTCGGGACCTGCCCAGTCCCCTGCCCACCAAACGGACCAGGACGTATTCAGCGTGAGTACCTGCCCCTCACCCAGGCTCTGGTGGTCCTTCCCCAGGACAGGGCTCCGGTCGGGGCTGCCCAGCTCCCAGCCTCCTCCATCCCCTGTTGTCCTCACCCGAGGACAGGGGAGCTGTGTAAGGACCTTCCAGTAACTGCTAGCGTTCATTCATTCCACAAAGCTGTACTGAGCTCCCGACCAGGGGATCCAGTGATGAATAAGGCAAAGTCTCAGCCTGCAAGGTGCTTACAATCCAGAGGGAATTTGTCCACCATTCACTACACCTGGCCGGGTTGGGCATCAGGGAAGATGTCCTAGCTGGGTTTGGAAGATTTATCAGGTGAAGAAGGAAGCTGGGTGCTCCCGGTGGATGAAACAGCCTGGGCAAATGCAGAGGCATGGGGTGGACCTTTGGAGAGAGGCGGGCAGGCTGGACAGAGACCAGCCCTGGGTCTTTGGGGTGGGTCACGGGGTGGAGTCAAATTGGGGAAGGGTTTTGTGGGAGCCACAGGGAGGCTGACTTGGTTTGGTCAAAGGAGGGGTTTTTGATGGCAAGCGCTGATTGTCCCATGTCCAACCCAAGACCAGGCACAGAGCAGATGCTTAATAAATGATGAATGAATGGATGAATGACAAATAAGTGAACAGGATGGATACTGCTGCTTCAGGAGATAGTGAGCTCCTCGTTCTGGGAGTTATTCAAGCCTAGGTTGTACATTCTTCACTTCGAAATCTTACAACAGGAATCCATGTAACCTCAGGAGGGGAGGGTCTTGTACAGGGAGAGGGGCACTGGCTGGGAGTCAGGAGACCCACTTGCTGTGCACCCTCGGAGAGCCAGTTTCCCTCTCTGGGCCTCAGTCTCCTTATAGTCCAATGGGATGATGAGAGGACTGAACTAATCTCTATGGGTGGTTTCTGCCCTGGGGAGGGTTCTCCACAGCGCTAGCGCTGAGGCAGGCCCTGCAGACGGGCCCCGGGAGAGCTGTGGGGGTCCAGGGAGGGGGTCCCCAGCCCACAGTTCCAATACCCCTACCCTATCTTCAGGACAGCCCGTGCCTCGGCTGGCCCCGTGTTCAAGGGTGTCTGTAAGCAGTTCTCACGCTCACAGGGCCACGGCTTCATCACCCCGGAGAACGGGTCAGAGGACATCTTCGTGCATGTGTCTGAGTGAGTCTCTCCCCCTTCCCCGCTGTTGGCTGGGCCCCTGCTGCAGTATCCTAGCAGTGCCTCCAGAATGCTCCCTAGGCCTCTCCCCTCACTGGCTGAAGTCTGTTCCTGGCACATTTCTCCTCTAATAGGGCCTCCAGGGGCATGGGTGGAGGAGGGCTGGGGCCAGATGGAGAGGGGGCACTCAGACCCCAGAAGCCCTGGGAACCACTGCCTGAGTCCTGGGATCCTGTTCCCGCATCACGGGGACGGAGAGGGCTGGGTCCTTCAGCCTGGAGGGAAGCTAGGAGGTGGGAGGTGGTCTAGGCCTGGCCCCCAGCCCTAATGCCAGGTGTGACCTGTGGAGTCACTGAGCCCTAAGCCTTGGGAACCTCCCTGAGCCCTTTTGCGTCTCACTTTGTAGCATAGCGAGGGGCTGTTTATGATTCCCATTTTACAGATTAGAGAACTGAGGCTCCGAGAAGGGAGGCTGGCTCAGGCTCCCTGGCCTAACTAGGCCCAGGGCTAGGCTGCCCTCAGGCCAGACCACAGGGGGCATCCAGGGAGGGGGCCTGCTCCTGGGCTGACACCCCCTCCCCCCACCAGCATCGAGGGGGAGTACGTGCCAGTGGAAGGCGACGAGGTGACCTACAAGATGTGCCCTATCCCGCCCAAGAACCAGAAGTTCCAAGCCGTGGAGGTGGTGCTCACCCAGCTGGCTCCACACACTCCCCACGAGACGTGGTCCGGCCAGGTCGTGGGCTCCTAGGCTGCTGGCCCCTGTGCCAGCCGCCAGGCGTGGGGGGAGCCACACAGGGTAGATGGGCAGCAGCCAGCTCCACGCCCCACGGCACTGGCTGAGCCAGTCCCCCGGGCGGCCTCGGCGTGCACGTGTGTCTGTCTGTGCTTGTGGGCGTGAGTGTGTGCCTCCACCTACCCCGTGACTGTCGTGTGAGCTGGAGCGAGGGCAAGGCCACCAGACCTGCCTTCCCTGCTTTCCACTCTCTCTCCTTCCTCCCCTCCCTGCCACACACGCACAGGACCCTCTTGCCCTCCTAACACCCATGTGCGTGTCCACTGAGCCTCTGAGGGCCTGCGTCAGGCCTGGGCTGGGAGTCGGGGCAGCAGTGGGCCCTGCCCCCCCGCCCCGTACAAGCTTGCTCCCCTTGCCTCTGCTCCAGGCCTGGCCCCGGGGGCCAGACTCTGCTTGTGCTACTCACACACAGCCCCCTCCCCCCGGGCTGGGGTCTCCCACTGTGACCTGGACCCCTCCTCTCAGAAGCCAGGCCACTGAGTGCTTTGGGGGAGCCTCCCGGCCTCTTGCCGGGGAAGAGGGTGAAACCCGGGGCAGAAAGGCCACCCCCTCGCGCCCCCCATGGCCAAGGCCCAGCCTTCCCTCCTTCCTGCTCGCTCTCAGCACACTTGAGGCAGGAAAGAGGGGCCTGGGGGCAGAAGGCAGTTCTGGGGGCTCCGGTTTTGCTGGCCAGCGCCTCCTCAGCCTGGCAGTGGCTTTGGCAACCCCAAACTGAGGCTGTGTCCACTTCCCTGGGCCTTGCTGAGCCTTGCTGCCTTGACTCCACCCCGGGGAGGCAAAGGTCTGCAGAGGGGTGGGAGCACGGCTCCCCCCGCTTGGAGGCAGCCATCCCCTTTGCCCTGACTCAGAAACCCCACTGATGCTCTGCCCGTGCCCAGCCATCATGGCCGCTGAGGACCCAGCGATGGAGGAACACACATGCCCTCAGGCGAGCCAGCCACAAGGACAGCTCTCAGCCTGGGAGACCACCAGCCCTGCAGCCCCCCTTGCTGGACCCTCTTCCCAAAGCCATGGGATAGTGGCTCCCACTGGCCACCAACAGGCCAGTGGCTGAGGTGTGGCCTGTCTTGTCCATCCCTTAAGGTGTGGGGTATCCCTCTTCCTTTTGGGCCAGGATGTGTTTGCGTGCATTCACTCCTGGGCAGGGGGTTGGCCTGGCCTGGGAGGTCAGGAAGGAGGGGGTCTACCTCCATCCCCCCACCTTCCCACCACACTCCCCTCCAGAGAACACATCACCTGATGGGGGAAGAAATGGGGTTCAAGGGAGGACCTGCCAGGGAGTGATCCTTATGAAACCCAGTCTGAGTGAAACAGATGCCGAGGATGTGGGGGTCAGTGACTGTCTAGGAGGATCCCCAGCCCTGTAGGTGCCCCAAGGCCCCAGGGGAGACACCAGCTGAGGTATGTGTATCTCACCCCTGTCCCCAGCACAGAGGCTGGAAGACCAGAGCTGCTAAGATGCACTGGCCAGCCCCCTAAAACTCAGAATGGCCCAGCCTGGCCCCCACGCTGAGCTGGGGCTACTCTAGCAAGGCCTGAGGCCTTTCCCCTGAGGAACAAGGCTCCCTGGATCCCTTGGCGGAAGGTTAACTCTTGGGAACCCCCGAGACACCCCCCCACACACACACCAGGAGGAGGCCCCCACTTTAGGCACCAGCCAGGAAGCAGGCTGTGGTAACGTCAGCCCTGGGGCCGCCCCACAGCGTCCAGCCCGACCTCCTGAGACCCCCAGCCACCTGGACTCCCCCATCCTTCCTCACACTGGCAATAAACCCTCAACTGTGACTCAGCCTGACCCACAGCTGCCTTTCTGTCTGGGTCCCAGGGGAAGGGGCTGGGGGAGGACACCTCAAACAGCCCTTGTTTGGGGCTTCAATGGCCCACCCTCCTCGACTGCATCAGATTCCCTGTGTGACCTGGGGCAAGTCCCTGCCATCTGTGCCTGTTTTCGCATCTGCAAAGGCAGGGCTGTAACAGCGTCTGTGACTGGGGCCAAATAGCCATTCAGACTCCACACCGCGTTCCACGAAGTTTAGTATCTGTGAGATCAAGTTCTCACAAGTATGCACCTTCCCCACTGCTGTGCTCCCCATCTAGGGCAGGGAAGCAGTGCGGGCTCTATCTTGTACCGACACTCGCACACGCTTCCCGCGTAGACAGAAACCTGTTCTGTCCAGAAGTACGAGCAGCAGCTGCAGCCGGGGCCATCGGGCTGGAGGACGGGAGCCAGGCCCACCACGAGCTGACCAGCTGTCCACACAGACCCTGGGCCCACTTAGGCAGGTAACATGAGGCAGGTGTCCTGGGCCAGAGGAGGGGCCCTGGCGCCCCCGAACACCAGGGCCAGGGGCTCTCTTAGGGCCGGGCAGAGCTCTCTGGAAGTCCCAAGGGGCAGGTGTGGGCCCTGGTCACGCCTCGTGGGCTGTCTCTGGGAAAAAGATCTCACGGCATCGCTGCACCGTGTCCTGCGGGGACACCACACTGTGGCCAACAGTCCGGGGGTCTGTGTAGATCTCAAAGTCGTTCCCACCCTGCACACAGAGGAAGGGCAGTGAAGGCATATGTACGCATGTGGTGCCTGGAGGAGGTTCCCAGGTTTGGAGCCCAACACCCACTCTGCCATGGGATCCCCTCCCCACACCGGCTCCTACACAGCTGCCCCTCCTCCTGCTGCCTTAGAACCGCCAGGAGGCCCTGACTTGCTGTGTGACATGGGGCAAGTGTCCAGCCAGCTCTGGGCCCCAGCCTTCCAATCTGTGTGATGGGGCTGGTGAGCACTGGCTGTTCTCTGGGAGTTTCCCAGGAGGTCTGTTCTGTCACCCCATGTCCTGGCCCCGATCTGAAGGTGACTTGGGGTGGGGGGACCTGGGCTGAGCCTGAGCCACACTTACGGGGCTGGTCTCGTTCCCAAAGAAGTGGATGGTGTCGAAGCAGTCCTGGTCCAGGCTGTCCAGGCAGTAGCGCTTGTCCCAGCCCTCAGGGAAGACGTCAAAACTGATCATGCCTCCTGTGGGGGTGGGAGTGAGGGTGGCAGATGAGGCCGGCAGAGGGGCGGCTCACGGGGACCTCGGGCAAGGCCCTTCGTGCATTCATTCATTCATTCAACAACCCGAGTGCCTACTGAGCACCAGGCACAGGGCATGGACAGACTCAGGATCCTCACGGGAGTTACGATCCAGGTGGGAGAAACGGGTGGTAAGTGACCAGACCACCTTTCAGATCGTGTAAGTCAATGAAGGGGGCAGGGTGCGGGGGAGGGAAGCTCCCCAGACGGTGCGATCAGGGGAGAGCTGTCCAAGAAGGTGACATTGAGCTGAGACCTGAGCCAGAGTGGCAGTTGCCAGGGAATGATACAATCCCCAAGGCAGGAAAGGGCGTGGAGTGTCCCAGTGACACAGAAAGCTGGGAAAGGGCAGCAGCACAGGCATGCGGGCCCTGGGGTGCAGGGAGGGGGCCTGGGTTTCATGAGGAGTGAGAAGGAGCCTCTGAAGGGCTATAAGCAGGGGTATGACAGGGTCTGTTTTTCTCTGGCCACTGTAGGGGATAGACTGTAGCGGGAGGTGGTGGTGGGAGACGCTTTGGTTTTTGACCTGAGCAACTGGGTGGGAGGTGTGGGTTGCCTGGGTTTAGGTGGGGAAGCCTCGGGGGCTGGAGTGCCTGCCTGTTTTGGCTCAGCTTGCCCTTGCTGTGCTCGGAGGGCTGGGAGGGGTTTCTAAAGATGCTGGGGGGTGCAGCCTGGCCTTGGGAGTGAGGCCCTGGGGTGGGCTCACGTACCAGACCTTTCAGGCCCTCCAAGGGGTTGACGTACCTCGGGAGAACCTCAGTCCTTTGCCGGCAAACTCTGTTTTCAGGGCTTCCACAAACTTCTCCCGGATCTTCTCCTTCTGCGGAAGGGGAGAGAGCAGACTGAGGTTCAGAGGGCTGCTGTGGGCCAGGCCCTGGGCTGGGTACACAGTGCATGTGAGCTCACTGAGTCTTCCAGGTGGATGTCATGCCCCACCCCCCACTTTACAGATGAGGAAACTGAGGCTCAGAGGGGGCTATGCCTTGTTCAAGGTCACCCAGCCTCAGTGGCAGAGCCAGGGCCTGAATCCCAAAGGCCTGTAACTGAACTCAGCGCCAGATCCTGCCAGTGGGGTACGGGCGGGGTATCCTGAAGGAGGCCTTGGAGCAGAGGCTCGAGGAGGAAGGCTGAAGGGATGGGACAGTCTGAGTCCCAAGTCACAGTGTCCACCTCAGGGCAGGACTCAGCCCTGTCAGCTCTGCCCAGTCCGCAGGGCTGAAGGAGAGTAAAGCATTTATATTAGATCTGCCCTGGTGAAGGGTACACAGGAGATCAGAAGGTTCATCTCCCTCTCCAATATCAGAAGAGGGCAAAACAAGACCCAAAAGACAAGAGAAGACCCTGGGGGCTGTGGGAAGAGGCAGCGTGTCCTGTCTCATTACAGCTCATGAGATGGGAACTGTGATTATCCCCACTTTACGGATGAGAAAACAGAGGCACATAGTAGTGAAGCCACTTTTCCAGGTAACTGGGCAAGTAGGAGGTGGAACTGGGATTAGAAACCCAGGTGGCCTGAGAAAGGGCCACCTCTCAATATGTGCGTAGGAGGAGGTTCTCGGCCAATGGTCAACCTTAACCACTCTACAAGAAAAGTCTCCATGTCTGCGGGCATTGCCTACCTGAAGCCTTGGGGCACAGGGTGAGAATGGGGATGAGCTAGGACATCATTGCAAGTCCCACCCAGCCTCAGGGAAACATCAGAGGGCAGCAGGCGGAGGCCCAAGTTCAAATCTTTGGGCTGCAACTAAGTGACCTTGGGCAAGCCATTTCCTCTCTCTGAGCCTCAGTTTCCTCATTCATAACATGGGTATAATATCATCTATTTCATTCATTCAAAAAGTATTTCTCAAGCACTTCTGTCAGGCATGTGCTGGGCCCAGTGGATCCAGCAGTGAACAGCCACAGAAACCCCAGCCCTTAAGGAGCTTACAGCTTCAGCTGGGGAGACAGACAATAACCAAGATTTAAAAATAGGTGATACAGTGGATTAGAGGGTGATGGCTGTTTGGGAAGAAATAAAATAGAGGAGAAGATCAGCAGGTACAAGGGGTTGCAATGTTTCGTGTAATGCTCGGGGAAGGTGACACTGAGAAGGTGACACTTGAGCGGATGTGAAGGAGGTGAGAAGGCACAGCCCTGAAGTAGGAAACTGTCTGCTATCTCTAGAATCAGCAAGGAGGACATGGCCGGAGCAGAGAGAGCAGGGGGAGAGCAGAAGGGCAGGTCAGCGGGAAGGACAGAGATGGGCGGGCGTGAAGAGGCTTGGTGGACTGGCTCCATCCCTGAAAGGGAGCGGGTACATGGTGGGGATGATGAGCAAAATGCAAGTCAAACTTCAGCGAGGGTAGCACATCCAAAGGCGACAAGGACCTTGGTGTGTTCCAAGAACAGAGGCACAGGGAGAAGGCTGAAGAGGGAGCCGTGAGTCAGGCAGACCCCTCGGGGCTCAGGACACCACAGGA